GAGCCAGTAATTAAAGCTGGGACACTAACTTGTGCACTTTGTATGCTGTAAGCCCGTGTGGTTTTCTTCTCGGGCAGGAATTTCATGGACCCTGTCCCAAAGGATTCCCCTCCAGGAATAGGACTGTTTTTTCTGGTGGGGCTCGGGCTGACTCATGGTCGAGTGGGGCCAATAAAGTCTTTCCTGGGAATGAAATCTCTTTCTGTTAACTCACTGGGCCAACTTATTGGGGACCCCTGCTCACCCAGTTGATTAGAGAATTGGGATATAGTGCTTCCAAAATTTACCTGAATTCTTTATTCACCACATTAACATGGAGGCTTCTCTTACCAGCACATAAGGGTCACACCTCTAGTGCTAGATGAAGGAAGGGGGGTCTTAGATGAACATGACATTGCCAGACATGGGGACATGCATGTCCCCTTCAATTTGACAAACCCATGGGGAAACTAGAAAACAAGAAGTCAAATTTTAAACTTTCCCTGGCACTGAGCCCTTGCCAGACTTTGCAGATTTGGTGCTCCCAAAGAGCACTGTGTTGGTGGTCAAATGAAGCACACTCCAGAATGAAAGCAAACACTGTGTGATTGGGAGGAAGGAGTCCAAAGGCCAAGGGGGCTCCCTAACTTCATTATCTGAGTCGTCTTGCCAACCGCTGCACATTAAGAACAGGGCTGGGGCTTGGCTCCCCTGGCCACACTCCTGGGCCTGGGAGAGCTGAGGTATGTCTGGAAAAGAGGGGGACTTTGCCAAGGCAAGCATCTCCCGTGCCAGGCAGACCAACAAATAGCTTCTTCTCCGAGTCCCTTCATTCGAATCCTCAATCAGCCAAGGCCCATTCATTTAATAAGTGCAAACTCAGGAGCTACTAAGTGCCAGGCTCAGTGCCAGGCACTGAGGATACAGAGGTGAACTTGCCTAAATCAGGCATGCTTTTCATCACATGTTCTAGAAAACGTTCATTGATGTTTTCCTGATCCCAAGAGTAATGTGTGTCGGCTAAAAAAATTAATTTCATTTAAATTGTATCACTCAGTCTCCAGGGAGAAGCCCTGATAGCATTTTATGGTATTGGAGTGCCTTGTTAGCCAAGGAAAAGCAGGACCGGGAAAAAGGCCAGTTCTGGGAATCTTCTTAGAGTATGATCCAAAATTTCGTAGTAAAAAGAAAAAAAAAATTTTTTTAAGATTTGATTGGGACTTTACTTGAACAATGAAACTAAAAATTATGGAAATAAGGTTACATTATTCTACATTTAACAGCTCTTGTAACATTGGAATTATAATGTCAAGGACACCTTAGACCCAAGGCAAAAGCTTATTTGCTTTATTAGCATCTTTATTATTTTTTTTAAAGATTTTATTTCTTTATTTGTCAGAGAGAATGAGAACACAAGCAGGCAGAGCTACCGGCAGAGGGAGAGGGAGAAGCAGGCTCCCCTCTGAGCAGGGAGCCCAACGCTGGCCTCGATCCCAGGGCCCTGGGATCCTGACCTGAGCCAAAAGCAGATAATAACCAACTAAGCCATTCAGGCACCCACAAGAGGTCATTTTTATAATGGCATACTTTTCCAAGGGCTTCTCTTGATCTTTTTTATTTAAATCCTTATCTTTGGAAGCATCTTAAGTGTTATCATCCAGGGGTGTTTATCAGTTAACTGATCTAACTCAGCCAGATCCAGATTTATCAGTTGCATTCTGTGGCTTGAGCAGTTTTTCATCATCTCTTTCATTGATTTCATGAAAGTCTGCTGCTTTTGCAGCAAGGACTCAATTTCCCTCTGTAGTAGATTTGTACCATATTGGAACTGGGTAATCAGAGTCTGCACTGTCTGGTGATTAGGGACAATTGTTGCTCCCTGGTCCGTGTTCCCAGTCAGCTAAGAGTCGATCCCCACGTCTTGCAACAATGATAAAGTTGTGTTCTCTAACCTAAAGTCAGGGTAAACAACGAGTGGTACATGGAAAAGGCAGAGCCAAGGAGATGCCTGATGTCAGGAACCTCTCCCACATACTTCCTGGTGGGCACCAAATGTCTGGCAGAAGTAATAAGCAACCCCCAATAGATCACAATTTTGAAGCCTCACTGGGTCTCTCTGTGCCTACAAGGTTGCCTGCCTGGCTCTTGCCAAGGGTGTAAAGGTTTCCATAATGAGCCTGGTTTTTAGTTATGCCCTGGACCTGATGTGAAACCAGAACAAAGAGGATGTTGATACTGCTTGGGGTAAGTTGCTCCCCCGATGGGCACGGTTACCCAGACTTCATAAACTACAGTTCGATGAGCTTTCTCTCGTTTAATAGAAATTTTAAAAATTTTATCGGCATATGCCTGTTCCCCTTTTATTGTCTTTCCTCAGCTGGGAGCAAATGCCCCATCCTTCCCAGCGGCTCCCAGCACCTGGAGCCTCAGCTATAAAGAGCATTGTGTGAGGTCAGGTTCCCCAGAAGCAGATGGGGATTTCTGTGCAAGCAGTTTATTAGAGAAATTATCTGGAAAAAAAAGGGAGTGAAGGGAGCAGAAGGGGGCAGAGGAAGGAACCCGACAGTTGTCCTGTCAGCTGGAGGCTGCTTTAGCCTCATCCCACAGGGGCTCTGGAACCTAATCCGCACAGCAGAGCCAGTCTCACCTGGAGGCAAAGGGATGTCAATCCGAGGCTACAGAATGCTTGTAGGGGAGGGTGTTGTAAATCCCCCTCCCCCAGGCAAAGAAGCTTCCATTCAGCTGGGGGCTATTGAACCCATGTAGTAAAGGGGTTGTAGGACAAGCACAGAACCATCCACTCATAGTGTTTGCTCCCCTCACAGCTGTAGTAGGAGAGCAGAGTATAGAAATAAATAACCCCAGGAGGGCCATGTTCGTGCTGACAGGCGGCAGAAGGGTGATGCATGAGCTCCTTTCCTATAGCACCACCAGGAGCGCATGAGTCATGATCGTCAACCCAGCGCTCTCCAGCCTAGAGAGGTCTCTGGTTTTTGCTCTCTCTGCCTTCCCCCACCAAGGTCCAACCAGAATTCTGCAATCTCTAGTAGACTGAGTAGGGTGGCAGAGAGACTTGGAATAAAACAATAAATCCTGGCTTACACATTATTTTCTAACACTTTTGGAATTAACCAAAAGAATGGACTTCAGCAGTTCTGGAATAATCAACTGCAGTCTGAAGCCAAAGCCAAGTACACTGAGGTCCTCTCAGGTTCCAGAGTAAAGTTTTGAAGTCGCAATCATTCCTTCACACCCACGCAAAACCTAAAAAAAGTCTTCAAGGCAATAAATCTTTTCTTCACAAACAGGTAGATCTTTGACTTGAATGGAAAACCTGTCTTCTGGTTTGCAAGGGATTTCCAGTGAGGCATGGAACTTCACGAAGGAAATTTAGAACTGGGTTGAGGACTCATGTAATTTATATATATGCTAGGACACCCTTGAGAGTAATTGAACCCCATGATGGATGTGAACAGGAACCATACGGGGGACGCTGAGAGCCAATGTCACCTAGGCTTGGGCTTGATACCTCTGATGCCCACAGGCTGATTAGCTAGGATTTAAAGGAGCTTCTCCTTGGGCCAGTTGTAGACATTGCTTCTGCAAGGAGGAACAGGAAGAAGGAGATGGCAATAAATCCCGCACAAATGAATCATTAGGACCAGTCTTTGGGACATGCAGGTCCTGAGACAGCATTTGAGAACTTATCCTCTGGTTTCGTTATTGAAATTGCAGAAGCATATCCTCTAGGTTCCAAGAGCAGCCCCTCCCACTTCCATGTAAATGTGTCTGTCTGCTGGGAGGTCTCTTCTTTCTAAGTTGTGAGCTTTTCAAGGACAGGAACTAACATCTTTCAGACCTGTGTCCTTCTCGCTGATGATGGTAGGTGGTATGCTGACTCGGTCACCCCATAGAAGCTCAGGGTCCATTCTGAATCCTGTGCTGCTTCCATACTATGTGTGTGAACTTGGCATCCATGAGGATTTGGGGCCAAGGTGCATGAAGTAAGCCTTGGAAGGAGGACTGAGGAGGAGTATTCCTGCTAGTGGAAACAGCTTAAAAGAGGTACAGGAATGAAGCCAGGTAAAGGATGTTTGTAGACTGGAAACAGAATAGAAAAAGAAGAGAATGTAGATGCTCTTTCCCTCTAGAAAATTAGAGTCATAGAATGGGGAGGGAGACAGACTTTAGAGTCCACCAGGAATGACCTTGGGGGAGGCACACCACCTTATCGAACTTTGGCATCCTGGCTTCTAGACTCAGCAAGTGCTAGGTCTGTGGCATCTCCTCCAAAATCCACAACATACTGTCTCCCCTTGGAAGTCTTGATTGGCTAGTAACTTGGAACCTGTGGGTTAAGAAGAGCCTTCTGGCCTCCTTTGACCTTGGTTGTAGACCATATGTTCAAGTAGGAAGACAGCAGTTCCCCATGACCCCCATCCTGGTTTCTTGTGCCACTGTGTATAGAGTCCAACCTTGGTGGGCTACGCTAGGAGACCCCTCCTTGCCCCTGTACCTGGGCAAGGCATACCAGCTCAGCCCTTACCACCCCAGGCTGCAGAAAAAATCCCTGTATTTTCCTTGGTGTGATTTTCTTAGAGTTTATCTTTCCTAAACTAGCAAGGTCTTGAAAGGCAGGATTAGAATGTGGACTTAGGAGAAAGTGTCCAGGAAGACGGCGTGGTTGTCTTTAACCCAAAACTTTGGAGGTATCCGGCTCACATGCAGCCTGGTCCAGTTCACCAGGAGAGCATCAGGGTTCAGAGCCAAAACATTAGTTAAGAATGTTCTGGATGCCTGCCTTCCCACCAAGCCCATGGGAAGGGTGGGCTGCCAGAGAAGGACTGAGGACTTGTCCTGGTCACAAGCTTCTCTCCCACCAGAGCCAGCAGCGATGTTGCCTGGGAACCTCCCCAAAGAAGGACCGTATCTGCTCAAGTCTCAGTTTGCCTCATGGAGGCCACTTACACGCATTGGTCTCCACACCGCCAGCCCATCCATTGGTGCTTTTTCTCTTTCAGGAGGAAATGGGCATTTCCTGTGAGCTGCTTGAATCAGACTTCCTCAAATGCAGCGTGGGATTTCCTTTCATGAGGTCAAAATCAAAGGTAAGGGGAAGAGACGAGGCTCTTACTTCGCAGCAGGGCCCCAGCCCTTCCCACCAGCCATCTGTCCTGTCAGCTGTACCCCACCCCCCAGGCTTCCTTTATTCCCCCCCATCCCCACCCCCACCCCTGCCTCTGCCATGGCACTGCCCAGCTCCTATAGGGGTGGGGCTGGGGTTTTGATCTTCTACTCCACAGGGGCCCTCCCCACATGCTCTTCCTCTCTGATCTACATGACATACCCCAAATGTGAGAGACACACCATGGCCTTGGTACATCAGCAAGTACCATCTGATTGGCCTTCCTAAAAATCTTTCTCTGGGACATTCCATGCCACTGTGAGTGTGACAACATAGGAGAAATGTGGTCTGGGCTAGTGACCTACAGGTCTGACTGTCACTCCCCTGGACACTCAAAATTTTCTGAAGAGACCTCTTAAAATTCTTAAAACATAAATAATGGTATTGCACTTCTTTTTCTTTTTCTCAAGTAAAAGAAGTTAGACTCACTTTGGTATTTATACGGAGCCAAATTTTCTAAGCTCAAATAATAATATGGTCCAGCATACTCAAACATTCATGGAACATTCTGGTATGTGCCAGTATTATAAGGATATGCAAAGATACATAGAAGATGTGATTATTGGAAGTAAAATGAGAATCTAAAAGATCAGGTCTGCCTTTGAAATGAAAGCTATTTTTCTTGCTATTATTTGAAGGAAATTTCATATTCCTTTGTCTAACTTTTTCCCCCTAAAAAAAAAAAAAAAAAAAAAAAAAAAGTTTAATCCTCCTCTCCTGTCTATGTCACAGAATCAGCTTGTTTTAATCTCCAAGGCATTTTGGTCCCAGTACCTTGTGGCTGTTTTATAAGCCAGTTGTGAGAATGTTCAAGGGAAAAAGAAGATTTGCTGATTTTGTAGCAAATCACTCAAACCCCTCAGCCCCATTGAAGATGCCTGCTCCAAATGACAATGGCTCTTACATCTGTGATTCCAAAACCTTTTAGGAACGCTGCAATGTCCCTGAACCCTGGACATTATTGCCTGTAGAAACGTTGCATGGCACTTCTGTTATACGTGTTTAAATGAAATCTTTTCAGCAACCGAAAATTGACTTAACTGAAAAACGTTAACAGTTGCCATTTCATTGGTAAAATCCAGCCAACATCCCAAATCAAACCTAGGGTAGGGCATGCTAGTTTTAGCTTAAAGGTTATTTTAAAAGGAAAACTTTATCACTTTGATGTACGGATCCAGGATCACTTACCATAAAGGGAGGGTAGTCATAAAAACAAGTACAGGGAAAACAAAGCCATGTTGAATTCTGGAGCATTAAATTTTGTCAAAATTCATTGACTCTCAAAATAGTCATGGAACCGACAGAAGTAGGAACGTTGGAAGGTTGGATTTTTTCCCAGCTCGGTAATGCCACTACCTTCCTCCCACATACAGAGGCTCAGACTGGAGCAACACGAAAGCTGGAGTTCGGAGGCCTAGGGGTGAGTCCCTGGAGAGAGCCCAACGAGTGACCCAGCAAGGCCGGGGACCACGCCTATCCGCCCCCTGGCTTGCCCTCCCCTGTGTCTCGGCCCCTGGGGCTCAGTCAGGCTGCAGCCCGCCTGTTAAGCCTCATGACTGCACCGTCAGCTTACTCTGGTGGCCATCTGTCCATGTCTGTCATGACCAGCCTGCCCCGTCTCTGGCCTTCCGTTCTCCCAGGACCCCCCTTCTCTGTTTTTGGCTTCTCACCTCACCTGGGTCTTTAGAGTGTTTAATTCAGATCTCCTGCCAGTTCTGACTCTATGATGGGACAAGACCCTTGACTTTCCCTTCCTTTGTGTCCTCCAGCTCTGGTTCCCATCCTGTCTCCATGACCCCACCTACACTGGCAACTGAACAGACCCCCTGCTACAGAACTTTCTGTCTCTAGAGGGATGTCCACTGCCCGCTGTATTTGATGGGTCCGTGTTCATTACTCTCAGGCAGCATTTAGTACAGTTGAACCCAGGGTTGCAAAGGTAGACCAGTGCCTAACATTAGTCACTAAGGAACCCAAATACTTTGACATTAAATGATTATAGACTCTCGGAGCTTGACGGAACTCAAGAATCATTTTGTCCATCTTCTAATTTTTATTGAAAGGTGAAGAGAGTGCGTGTCTTGGCCAAGATCACATACTCAGTTTGTGGCCGCACCTGGATCTGTAACCCCTACCTGGGGGTCCCTCCCACATCCCCACACATGCCCAGTGAGTGCATGGCGAAAACCATTTGCTCAGGGCAGCCTTCCCCAAGCCATGGGATGCTCACCACAGGGAGTACCTGAGGTGGTTGTAGACCAAACATGGACACTGCAAACATGGACATTGCCTCTAACAGCGGAACAGTTATTACCTGTTCAATACTCTTTTTCCCTGATCCCATGCAGGAGAAAGTCTCCCCTAGTGTCAGCCTGTCTGTAACACCTCCCTAGCTCTTGCTAATCTCCCTCTTGCCAAAATAAAGTAGCCCTTGGGCTCAGAGCCCTCAGCAGGCCACAGAATGCCCCGGTGCTTTGTTTTCATTTATTTTTGTGGCAACCTTCTCTTACTGGTAAGTGATCCTGATTCCCATCTGTGATCATGGTAGAAATTTTCCATCTAAAGTGCAGCCACTCTGGAAAACAGCATGGAAGTGCCTCAGAAAGTTGAAAATAGAGCCACTCTACGACCCAGCAATTGCACTACTGGGTATTTACCCGAAAGATACAAGCACAGTGATCTGAAGTGGCACAGCATGTGCACCCCAGTATTTATAGCACTGAAGTCCACAATAGCCGAACTATGGAAAGAGCCCAGATGCCCATCAACAGGTTAATGGATAAAGAAGATGTATATATATACAATGGAATACTATGCAGCCATCAAAAAGTAATCTTGCCATTTGCAGCAATGTGGATGGAGGTAGAGGGCATTGTGTTAAGTGAAATAAGTCGATCAGAGAAAGACAATTACAGGATTTCACTCATGTGGAATTTAAGAAACAAACAGAATCATAGAGAAAAAGAGGAAAAATAATATAAGACAAAGTCAGAGAGGGAGACAAGCCATAAGGGACTCTTAACTATAAGAAACAAACTGAGGGTTGGTGGAGGGGAGGTGGGTGCAGGGATGGGGTAATGGGGTAATGGGCAGCAAGGAGGGCACGTGATGTAGCAAGCACTGGGTGTTCTGTGCCACTGACAAATCACTGAACTCTACCTCTGAAACTAATAATACACTATATGTTAATTAATTGAATTTAAATAAAATAAGACTAAAAAAATAAAGTAGTCTTTAAACAAAAAGAGCGGTAATGAAAGTACACAATAAGTGATACGGGTGATATGGTACGCAGGTGTGGCAAACATTGGGAATATGGTGTGGGAATGAAACTTAGAAAGGCTGGGTTAATAAAAAATAAATAAATAAAATAAATAAATAAATGAATAAATTAAAAAGGCCTGGTCTAGGAGACGAACATATCACTTCCTAGAAGACCTCAGTTGCTAAAAAAGACCATGTGCCTCTCACCAGAGCACACTCCAGGCTTGGTTTTATTACTACAGTTGTACCTCTGGCCTGTCAGCCAGAAAGATACACGTAAAAAAATACAGCTTGCCATGCAAATGAGCTCCAGAGGTCATAAACTACAGAGACTGTGGTGTTTCCGTTGGGAATGCTCGCTGAGGCCAGATGTCACTTTCTTTTCCCCTAGTACGAATTCAGCGTGATCTTTGACACAAGCCACCTGTCTGGGGAAGAGGAAGTTCTTAGCTTCATCATTACTGCTCAGAGGTAAGGGGGAGCTTCACTTTTTTTTTTTTTTTCTGAAGATAAAGATTTATGAGAACAGGAAAGGACGTTCCCTGGTCACGCTTTGATGATGGTCAGGATTCTGAGGAGGAAGAAACAGTGGAGCGATAGAGCCCCAGAGTGCTGGCTGGGGTCGGAGCTCTCAGGGCTGGTGTCTGTCCCGTTCTGCTGATGCAGCCAGCAGGTAGGATGGAGCTGGGAGGGATGGGGATCATGTGGTCAGAGGCAATGACTTTTACAGCCAAGGAGAGACAGCCCAGGGGAGGTGAGGTTTCTGATCCAAGTTCACGTGGTTGGGTAGTTCACAAACTTCCTCTGTGGGTTGCATTCCAGGATGCAGGGAGGGGGCACAGCAGGCAGGGGGAGTGGGGGCAAGCTTGTTGTTAGAGGCCCCAAGACATGCTCCTCCAGAGAGGGCTTATCCTGGAAGCCTTGTGGGCAGAGACAGAGAGTCGGGGCAGGGCACCATGCAAGGTGACTTCTGCCCTCAGGAGTGTGCTCCTGCCCCTCTGTCTCCAGTGTGGCCTCGAGCCATGATGGGGCTTTGGGGGCTGTCAGCTGTCTCTACAAGCCAGAATCCATGTGTACCTTGAAGCACCATTTGGGTAGTACTTGGCTGACATCGGGTTGGAAGGAGAGGTAGGTAGGTGGGTGAAGAGGAAAATACAAACTTTGATCAGGGTGTAGGTTGGATACCCAAGGCTACTTTTGTAATCTGGATTTTTATCTGGAGAGGATTTTAAACTTACCAGAACTGTTGCAAAGCATAAGTCAAGGAACTCTCCTGCAGCCCATGCTGGCACTTGGATCCATTTACTTATCATTCTCTACGGATAGTTTTTATGTCTCAACCATCTGAAAGTTGCAGAAATCATGCGTCCTTCCCATAAGGACCCCTGTGTGCATTTCCTACAAACGAGACTGTTTTCTTCAACAACCAGTATAGTTAGCAAATGCTGGAGATATGACACTGGCACAACACTATTATCTCCTCTATAGTCCATGTTCCAATTGTGCCAATCATCCCAATGACTTTTCTACCCCTTTGTCACGAGCCCAGAATCCAGTCAAGGATCATGCATTGCATTCCGTTATCGTGTCTTCTCTGTAGTTACCGTAACCTCCAAAGGAAATTTCTTGCCAGCAATCCTAAGTCCATCCCAGAGGTGGCCTGGAGATCTGAACCAAACACCCTGAAGGCCAAGGTCAGGCAAAGTCCACCAGAAATGTTGAGAAAACAAAACGAGGAGCTGCATGGCTAGAATAGAGGCCGGGAACCCAGAAGGCCAGACCCTGGGTGGGCAAGCAGTGGAATCAGGCACCGAAAGTCAACCAGGCAGGGGTGCTCAGTGGAGTCACGAGGTTGAAACAAGGTTCAGACCTAAAGACCCTCAGGATCTGGGGTACAGAGTGAAGCCACAGGCTCAGCTTTATGGAGCTAAAGCTTTATGGTCACCCTCATTTCAAGGGTGACCACCACCTGCATGGTCACCCTTGAAATGAGGGTTCTCGACCCCAGCCTTCCTTTGAGGAGAATGCCCTCAGGAGCTGAGAAGGAGCTCCTCATCCCACGTTACAAATTAGAAAGAACACCATTTCCCAGACTCTCCAGATGAGCTGCATTGGGGCCAGCCCATCGGTGCGATGAGCTGTGTAGAATAGGAGGGGCACCGGCTCATCTGTGTCTGGCCCCCAGATGGAGCAGGGAGTCATACCTTAGAGCATTCTGCCCACCCCCCTGCATGATCAGCAGGTGGGAACCATGGGGAAAGGACAAGGCCAGGGCTGAGAGGGATCGTGGATGGATGAGAGTGAGTCTGGCATCCCAAACCATCTCAAGAAGGCTTCAGTCTAGAGATGGAGGCAGACACCCAGCTTCCTACAGGGGAGGAGAGACAACCTAACCCAGGGCAGGCATGCTTCTCTCCTTCAGTCTGCAAACGCCTGAGCCCTTCCCACAAGCCAGGAACTGTGTCAGACGTTGGCAAAGTCCCTGCTGTTGGGGAGCGAGTGTGCTGGGGGTAGGGGGATAGAAAATGAGCCAATGAAGATAGAACCTTAGTGGGAGCCAGGAGCATGCAGATTCATCCGGCAATCATAAAGAATCTTCTTTGTGCCCTGTGTTCTCTTTAAGCCCACTTGGTGGGGTCAGTCTTTTCCCTGTCTTCCTGAGAGGGAGGGGATGGTGAAGGCTTTCTCCCCTCAGAGAGAGCAAGCTGCAGAAGGGAAGCCTGCTTCGCTCTCAGGAACAGTCTTGCTTTCCTCCAGTGGTGCTCTGCTGCCCCCCTCTTCCCCTGGAGAGTCCGGAGCCCCCCCAGGCTCACAGCAGGGCGTGTGGGAGGTGTGAGCGAAATAGAAACGGGGCTCACTCCTTAACAGGTAGGAGCACTCCCCGGGCCATGTGGGTATTCCAAGCTGATTCTCGCCTTTGCACAGCCAGCCCTCAGCTGGGGTTTCTCTCACCTGTCAGTCCCTCAGTCTGCCCTCCAACCTCAGCCTCTCGCCAGCCAGACACCCCTTCAGCTTCTGCTGCTGAGACCGTGCCCTCAGGGACAGGACCAAAGGTGACCTTCACCCTGGCTTTTGCATGTAGGTCCCACCCGGTAGCCTCTGCCGTGGCGGTCTCTGGAAATGCCAGATTCTTGCATGGCCCCTTTTCTCCCACTGTGCCAGGAGAGAGGAACCTAGCAGCCTTCCCCTACATTCCCTGGGCAGCCCCCGTTCCCCCTTGCTGAGCAAGGTGCCCTGAAGTGCGCCTTAAAGGGCAGACACGCTCCCCCATGCACCACCCCCAGCACTTCTCGCTCTCAAAGCTGCTTCTCCAGAAATCCTCCTTTCTCGACTCCATTACACCCTTGATAACGACACCTCAGATTTTTGCCCCAAGCCATAGTAAATCCTGCTCTGGTGCTTTCCTCTGGATCTGGCCTCCCTGACACCTCAGCCAGAATGTGGACCTGAACGAACATACTTGATACTCACCGCCTGAGAGTGATGCTTGAATTTTCACAAAAACACCAATTCTCCAGTCTTGGACTGAGATTCTTCCCAAGCCCTGCATCTTTCCATTTTCTGCGGTCCGTTCTGGCCCCTCACTAACGGCTTTGCCCTCAGGTACCCCCTCTCTGCTAGAGGTCAGGGATGCTCAGGTCAGTCCCCAACAAATCCACAGGGGACAGTGGCCAGCAGCCGCATCTGTGGGAGGCAGACACAAAGCAACTCTGGTTTCTTCTCCCACTGCTTTTTAATTTTGTTTTCATTTGAGGCCTTCCTCAGTCTCGACGTTATTTAAAGCTCACGGAATCAAGATTCCCTTTCCCTTGGGAATGACTGTGATGCTGGAAGCATACATTACCAGAGCCCCTCAGTCCACAACCACAATCCCCTATTTTGGCTTCAGTGTTGTTTTCTGTATTTCTCTTTCTTTCCTTTTTTTTTTTTTTTTTTTTTTAGCATTATCACAAATATTTTGGAGAATGTTCTGTCTCCTAAAAATAAGAGCACAGCACATCACAGTGTGCGTTGGCCTTCTTTACCCTGTGTGGTTGCATCCAACTTCCACTCCAGAGGTGATGGCTTTGTGGCCTTTAGTTCAGCCCTGGCTGGACTTCTGAACATGCACTAAGCATGTGTAAAAAGTCGGGGTAAGTAACGACAGCCGTGACTTCAAGTACAGCCCAGCAAGCCCAGAAATCCTGCACGGCCTTCTAGCGGGGCAAGGGCGGCCTGCTGTGGAGTGCTAGCATTTCATCACAGATCGCATTCGGCTGGGCTTGCAAGCTTTGAAACCGTTGAGGCTTGGTTATTTCTTATTCAGCCTGTTTCATGATCCCATAATTCACGTGCACATGAAAAATGTGACTGTGATCTAATAGAAATTACGTACAAAGCGTAGGGAAGGTGGACTTGGTTCCCATTGCCAGAATCCAGAAGGGCCTCCCTGGGGAGACGGCATCTAAACAGAGGGGTCTGTTTTCAGGCTGAAGACACAGAGGCACAGTGCCGAGTATGTGACAGCCAGATGGGTGCTGGGCACTGTGGGGAGCTAGGCACTCGTGAGCCATCTCTGCGGGGAGCAGACAGGGCATCGGGAGATGCGCCAACAGAGGAGATTGGGCTGGGCCGCAGAAAGCCCACGTGGCCTCAGAGTCTGCGCTAGGTTCCAGAGGCAGAAAGTCTTTGAAGAGGGAACTGGGGCATGCAACAGTTTGCCCACAGAGCTTATAGAATTTCAGAAAGGGAGGCCTGTGGCCAACCCACTGAAAACTCCTGGTGGTTGGACAAATCCATTAGTGGTTCCTCTCCACCTGCATATTCCTGGGAAGGAACACCGGGGCAGGAAATAAATGACATGAAAGGGACTTCCTCGTCAAAGAGCGGAAACTCCGCCTGCCTCCCAACCCCACCCAGGGCTAATCAGTGGTGCCAGAGAAGAGGGGGCCGACACCATCACAGTGCGAGCACTATCTGTTAGAATCACCCATCCTTAGATGCCAGTGGTGCCCATGGGAGTCGGGGCGGGGGGGCTTTAAACACCACCGATCCCTGGTCCGTCCCTCAGAGGCTCAGATCTATCCGTCTGGGCTGAGACTTCGGCATTGGGACTGTGAAATCATCTCATCAGGTGATTCTAATAAGCATCCAAGGCTGAGACACCATCTGGAGCCCCTGGCTCTATACGGGCCACGTTTCCACTCAGCAGACTTCTACGAAGCATGTGCAATTTATCAGATGCAATGCTGGGCACTAAGAAAACGCTAATCGCTTCCTAAAATCAAGAACATCCCCTCATGTGCACGAAGAGTGAGTGCTCCATTGCCTCAGGGCATGCCTAATATTGGCAGCTGAAATAATCAGCAGAATCTTCTAACATTGAAGCTGTATTATATGTTAAACATGCTGCAGAATATTGCAGGCACTTATTTCTTCCCAGATGTTGGTGAAAACAGTCTTACCACCCCAGAGGGCGGGTTCCAGCACTTGACTCCTTGCTCCCGCAGAAAGATCCTTAAAGCCCCTTATCTTGAAAGCCACCGTTAAAATATCAATCGTTCTGTCCTCCCCGTCACCACCCTTTGAAGCTCTCCTGCCGACTTGCGGATTTAGGAGGACGTAAAGTTGAGCCTAAACAGTCCTCCAGAGCTCTCTCAGCAGCCTGGCTTTGCAGGCCATGGGAACGCATCCCAAGTCACGAGCTCGTGGAGTGGCTGCAAGCCTTTTGATGTTTGGCCTCTGTATCTCAACTTTTCAGCTCCAGTCGGTCTGGAGCAGTTCCCCGATGACAGATGAGACTTTCGGGCCTGAGCTGCCAGCAGCCACAGGTGGCTGGACAAATGGCAGGGCAAGGGGTGGCGCGTCCATCAGGATCCCATTACTGGCAGGATGCGGGGTTGGGGGAGTTTGGGGGGCAGGCCAGGGCGTTCCCGGTCCCGGTCCCATCCATTCCACGTCACCTCTGATCTGCCTCTGGCAGTGATTCTAAGGCTGTTATTAGCCCCCTGGGAAAGGAAGGGCAAGGGAATCAGGCCAGGTGGGCACCTGACCCTGCTGCTTCTGCACACTGCCCTCTGAGTGATGGATGTCACCCCATTAGCAGAAGACAGAGGAGTCAGGGGTGAGAGTCGCAGAGCACCATTGTTTCAGAACAACAGGAGAAAGAAGAAGAGGGGATGTGAGCTTCACTTTAAGTATCGTTGCATTTAGCACTTGCTGGTGGGAGAGGAAGACAGTGGCGGCCGTGGGGGAGGGCGGGGAGCAGGCAGGAACTCTGCAAGGGGTCAGGGAATGTGGCGGGGGGAGTGGGCCAATGAACTGTGCCCAAACCTCAGCGGGTCTTGGGGTCCCTACAGTCCACCCCTGGAGGATGCATTTGGCTTCCAGCTGGGATCCCACATACGTGCCATGTGGTAGAACCAGCTAGAAGTGCTGGCCCTGGCAGCTTGTACCCAACGGCCCTGCCTGTTTCCAAGGTGTTACTTCCACAGAATAATAATCACAATCATCTTGGAAACATAACAAAATAGTAAAAGGAAGCTAGGTCTTCTCTCCTCCCTCTACTCCTCTTCTTCCTCTCCCCTCCCCCACTTCCTACCCACAACCTTCCAAATAGGCTGTCAGAGCCCTAGTTTGAGAGTCTGGCTGACCTGGTTTGCTGTGGATCCTTGGGCAAGTTCCCTAATCTCTCTGAGCTGCTCCTTACCTGTCAGAGGCAGGCAGTCCCCCACCCTTCTAGGGTTCCTTGGAGGACCCGGTGAGATCATGCTGTGCAGTATGTCTGACACAAAGCAGCCGCCCAACAGTGTCAGCTTCCTTGCACTGTCCTTTCCAGAGAGACCACAACAGTCCCCATTCCCTGCTTTCTCACTCCAAGGGGGATGCCTGTCGTGGATGGATGTGCTGCAGCCAGAAGTCTATAGGGGAGCTCCCGTGGTCTTTATCATGACGGGACTGGCCAGGGCTCCTCTCCCAGGCTTCGCTGGCTGTCCAAGGAGGGCGGGTCATGCCTCTACGTGGGAAATGGAGGCTCAAGTCCAGCAAACCCCTTCCCAGCTGCTGTGCCCTAACCTTGCTGGTCCGTTCTTCATGGAACAAGCACTTCTAGAAGTGGCACGTGCTGTCGGTGCCCAGCCATAACCATTCAGCGCTCGCCTTTCCCTGCACCCACCGGACAGCTTCTGGCTCCCAGTACCACTCTGCCGAGGCTTTCTCGGGCCGCAGCCCACTCACTCGGGTGCATAGCACAGGTGCCAGCAAATTCCTGTTCCCTGCCCCCCACCCCACCCCTGCAGCAGATCTCAGGAGTCATGGATAAAGCTCCACCTCCCGTGGGAAGACCTCGGTGTGTATTCCACACTGTCTCCCAGATGTCCCCAGCCAGTCCAAACCTAGTTGTCCACAGCACTGACCTCCTGGATTACCTGCCTTTTCTGCCTTCATTCCCTTCCCTGTCTCTTCTCCACTCCCTGCTGGTGTCTCCTGGGGTCACCTCCCCAGCACACCACTTGTACTCAGATCTTTGGGGAGGGATCACAGTTGAGATGACAGGCCCACTGTGCCTCTGCACGGGGACCAGAAACAGACCCGAAGGGACATCAGGTGCACAGCCAGCCTTTGGAGAGTGACAGATCGAGGTCTAACCCAGAACAACGAAGCCTGCTCCCGGGGAGCGAGCACCGACCAGCACTCAGCCCTCTCTTCCCACGCAGTGGCAACATGGAACGTTCCGAGTCCCTGCATGACAACACCCTTACGCTGACGGTGCCTCTGATGCACGAAGTGGACTCGTCCATCACTGGGTGAGCAGCCGGTCCTGGGTCGCCAAAACACCCCGGGGGGAATTGGGGGGTGGGGGAATGCTGTGTTTTTCTTGTGTGTGCACGGGTAGCCAGGGGTCTGTGGCCTGCCCGTTCCCCTTCTTCCCAGCCTTGAAATGCAGACAAAGTTTTAGCTATGGCTCATGCCCTCCTCCCACCTTGTTTTCCCCTCTTTCCCAGCTACCCACATACCTGCTGGGTGACAGGAGAGGTTTGATGACAAGGCTAAGCCCCAGAATGTCTTTGAGCACCCTGTACACCTTTATGTGGCTATTTCTCCAGCACCCACTCTTCCAGAGGGCCAGGATTCCTGGGATTCAAATCTCAGCCAATTGCTGTTGGGCCAGAGCTTACAGCCAGATGTGTCCCAACGCCCTGGTGGCCTTGCAGAAAGGCTTGCCATTCTGATTAGAGATGCAGCCAGCGCTGGCCTTGCACCTTCCTGTTAACCCCTTCTGCAGAGCCAGTGGCGGTGGGCAGGGAACAATCACGGGGGGACACTGCATGTTCCCGGTGAAGTCCACAGCCGCTCAGCGCCCCCGGCATCGGAAGGCGGGGCTGCGGGGCTGCAGGGACCCGACACAGCCTGGGCGGTTTTCAGCCCGAGCCCAGGCCTGGAAAAATGAGAACTCAGTTCCTGTTTCTGGTTTCAGAAAACAGAGCACATACCTCTTTGATAGTGGAAAAAGGATTTGCACAATTAGTTTAGATCAAATGAGGACCCGCTGAACCCCTGCCCCAAATGCAAGCTGAACTTTCTGGGGGGTTCAATGTTTCTCATTTTTCACTCTTCAAGTGCTTCTGGGTCTTGGCCTTGGCTAGAGGCAGAAGCGTTAATACGCCACAGAAGGAGCCGTTCTGCAGTAGCTCCCAAGCTGCTAGGCCCCAGAGTAAGCCTCTGGGCATTCCTGCGCTCTGAGCGTTTTCCCTCATGTTCTTCAGACAGGAGGCATCAGTGATTATATTTGCAAATTAGCATAGATTTGCCTCTGTTCATGGCTCTATTTTTAGCCATGTGGTTTATTTACTTGTCTCATCAGAGGCACAGTGAGAATGTGGCCTGAACCAAGCCCTGTCCTGGGTGGGTGGGGGGGCGGGGAGAGAACACACTTGATCCTGTTGTCAGGCCCTAGGTGGCCTCATTGTCAAGGCATTAACAGGCGCCAACAGAAGCTATCCCTTAAACACACGAGTCAACCTCTGATCTTTCCAGGACATAAAATAAGCCTGGTTTAAATGAACCATTCTTGCCATTTGATAACAACTGGGAACTGACTGCGTTTCTAAAATAATGCATTTAAGTTTAAAGTAGATGAATTGCTGTCCATTCAGACTTGGTACCGAAAATCTTACGTGACTGTATCTGGGCAAGGGAACAGCTTCTGGAATCTCATCTAGAATCCATTCTTGGGAATTTCAGTGAGTCCAAGCTTGGTCTCATCTCGGGCTTGATCGTATAGACAGTGTTGAAAGCGTCGCTGTACACTGAGCTTAAGTTCTTAATCACATCTTAAGCAGCCACTGTTTGAAATGTGAAGGAAAATGCTGTCATTGAACAGACCCAACTTTTAATACTGAATTTCTAGTGGTTTTAGTAGTCTGACAAACTTAAATGTTTTTTAATGAATTTATCACAGTGTAGGTCTTAGGATGCTAAATATATAATTCATTTATATTTATTTCTTAAAAACTTGCCATGATCTCCCTCGGTCCACAAAATCTTTTTCAAATGATAAAACACAACATGTATAATTCTGTCATCCAGTAAAAAAAAAAACCAAAAAACCTGAAGTCGAAGCTACCATTGTCTTCCTTCTCATTTTAGAAATGTAATCCCAGTACATACTTGTATATGTGGCTTATTGTTTTGACCTAAGATGAGAAGACATTCTTGGAAACTTCTGTTTAGAAAACATAGCTCTAGCTATGTCCATGTATAGGACAGAGAAGTAACAATTCCAGAAGGGAAGGGTTTGGTGAAGACGGTGGAGGGAACATGGTTCTGGATTAAATAGAGACAGATGTTTGGTTCTCAGGACAGCAGTGACCATGGGTTGCCTGACCGAGGTTTAGGTTAATGGATTAAATGCTTTCCTCTTTCAGAATCATGTCTCCAACCTCTTTTGTGTACGGCGAGTCTGTGGACGCATCTAACTTCATTCAGCTAGATGACCTGGAGTGTCATTTCCAGCCCCTCAACATCACCCTTCAGGTACCCAACCTGGGAGACCATCTCTGTCACTGGCAGCAATGGAAGGGCCTGTGGGGATAGGTCTTCTCCTGAAGGGCAGCTCAAGAGCCAGGCTCTTTGTGTGTATGTGTTTTCTGTAAGCATACAAAATTAATCCCTTCCCTGTCTGCTACTCTGTTGTGTAGATCCCTCTCCTTCTCAGCTCTTGGAAGGAAAACTTCATGATAAACACTTCCTTTCCCCAAGAAGGCCTCTGGCCAACGTCCCCACCCTGATGGCCCCAAAGGACCCCTTTCAGTTCTCCATCCTATTCACCTTGTGGGCCGGACAGTCCCAGGCACTTGCTGAATCCTCTTCCTCCTGGGGCTCTCCATGCTGACTCCGCCTGGACCCTACTCCTCCCGTAGATGGACGGGCATTCGGAAGTGCAGTCTCCCAGTAGCCAAGGGGTGTGAGAATACATACGCCCCCCCCATGGGAAGCAGCAGCTCCTCCCTCACAGAGCCATGGCTGGCCCTCCACAGTCACACAGGCATCATTTTCAGCAGGTCCACTCCATGTGGACCATGGACATCCCAAAGAACCCTCTTCCTTCTCTGGACCAGGTGGGCAGACATTTTCTGTAAAGGGCCCGTGCATATTTCAGGCTTGGTGGGCCATATTTTGTCTGTAGCAACTATTCAGCTATGCTACAAGAGTGCCAAAGCAGCCAGAGGCAGTGCAGAAGCAAAACTGAAGTAATGGGCACTGAATTGGGGATTTTTATATTATCCTCACATGTCATGAAATGTTACCCTAGTTTTAAATATTTCTCCAACTATTTAAAAAATGTGAAACCATTCTTAGCTTGCAGACCCTGCAGGCCAGGGGTGGCCTGTTGGCCATAGTTTGGCTGAGCCCTGCTGTGAAGTAGAAATTCTCAGGCCTGCACTGTTCAACCTGAGCATCTTTGCCTGTTAAGCTAGAAGGACCTCAGCCTCATCCAGTCCCTTGTCCTCAGTTGACAAGAACTGGATCCAGGCTCCACTGGTGTAGCCAAGCACACTGCCAGGAGCTGTTGATGATGTGAAGGAGATGGGCCTTGCTCACCCATGGTACACCTTGACCTACATCCAGTGTCTCTCCGTTCCAGCTCCCAGTGCTGTCTCCTGCCTCTTCCCCATTCTTCCCCATGGAGAAGATGGTTTTGTGGTCTGGCATCGACTTTGGCCAATAATGACTATTTTCTTTCCCTATGGCCACTCCTAGGTGGACGGAAGGGGTGAGACATAATCATGGGGTGTGGGTCCAGAGAAGGAGGCAGCAAAACATTTGTGGGCTCTCACAAACAACATCTCCCTCTCTCTAAAGTGTTCCCCCCGGGCAAGAAACCTCTGAAACCATGATTGGGGAACACATGTCCCCAGCTCAGAGAGGAGGTGCCTCCTGACCAGCTAAGCCCCTACCGTCACCCCCTATGCTCCATTTCCAGAGAAAAGGGGAAGGTAGTGTTAGACCTGCTTTTGAGACATTGCAGTGATGCTGTGAGCAGGACCTCTGTGTTTCTAATCTGCTGCTCAGAAGTAGTTTCTTTTTTCCCCCTTTGCTTTTTGCAAATGGATAGGAAACAGATAAAGACCAGATGGAGTGATTTCATTTAAATAACTTTAATTTTAATTACTTACCTACTCTTGGAGTTTTTGAGGTGTCTTACAACAAAAGATACATTCCAGAAGATGATTCAGAAGGATTCAAAGGACACACACCATGTAATGAAGAGGGTATAGGTGTTAGGACAAGAGCGAGTCAGAGGTATACCAGAGATGGAAAAATCTTATCACCCTCTGGTGATAAGGAAAGGAAAGGGAAGGGAAGGGCGGAAAAGAAAGGAAAAGAAAGGGAGAGAGGAGAGAGGAGGGGAGGAGGAAGGTAGGAGGGAGAGAAGGAAGGGAGAAAAGAAAGGAAGATAGAAAGATTGATCTCGAGGGCATATGGTTAAGTCGTGTTTCTCTGAAGGCTTCTTTATGGGGAACTTAAAGTTTAGTATTGAAGCAAAGAGCTTTCTTCCCATCTGACCTGACCTAGGATACAGGCTAGAGAATGCTGCCAGGATGAGTGACAGCCATGCTGCTTAGATAAACCTCTGGATTACCAGTTTGCTTGAGGAAGTACACAGCATTCGGTTGAGGATTAAGAGAGTCCACTGGGTCCAAAGATGGATAGCATGTGTTGTTGATGGGAAGGAGCTCCTCCTGGGTCAGCAAAGCTGACCGTTTCTTAAGAATCTTCTGGTGATTCATTTTCTGATACAGTTGTCATTATTTTGACTGTCATGCAGAAAGGCCATGGGCCAGGTGGATGGTGATAGTGGGAGAGCATGGGATCAGGAAGTAGATAAAAACTTTCCTCTATGGCCTTATTCTGATAGCATCACTCCTGACAAAGAGCACAGGACTTCCCATATACAGTGATTTTTCTGTCTTTTAAAAGCTGTTACTCAACAAGCTATGTGATGGTTTAAAGACTTCACCGCAGGCACCAATGGGAGAAAGGCAGAAAAACTAGTCTTGGGCCTGGTTCCTACATCCGTCAAAGTTTTCTTAACAGAAACATGATGATGGGCTGACCACTGATAGCTTTTTTTTTTTTTCCATCAAGAGTCCATCATTTTTCTCACCTGAAAAAGAACGATGAAAAATAATATAGCTGCCACTCAAGAACATTTGTGGAGAATCAGATGTTGAGGCATGTGTTAAGAATAAATGAATATGGCAGCACAGGCCCTCTCAACCCATCTGACTGTAGTACGTGAAAGTGTGCAAAGCAAACCCACTCTCTTCTCTCCCCCCCACTTCCTTTTTCATTGGGATTTCCCAGACATGTCAGTAGTTTTCTTTGCAGTTCTGTGCTCTCGTGTTCCACTTCCAATTACTTATTTCAGTTGTGGCTAGATATTCCTTCCTTTTCTTGTGTTTTAGGGCTGTTGTCTTTGGTGAATTTTGTTCTTTTCAAATCAAGAGTTGGCAGGGATCCCTTCCACTCCATCATGTTTTTGTGCTTTGAAGCAGAACCCAACTATTGCAAAAAATGAACACACGCTTTTCTAGGGAAAAGCTGGCTGGAGCCTAGATCCTTATATGTTCTGTCGTGTGTAAAGACCTGGCTAGATTTCCGTTCACCTCCTGGCTCTGCCCTGTTGACCCCAACATCAGAGACCCTTGAATGCCTGATTTTTCTCTCTAGCTCCCAGGGCGCAGAGCAAGCATCCAGCTGCTTCTCTCTTTTGTTTCTACCCATGTTTTTTTAAACCATAGCGTCTTTATTGGGATCTCATTTACCTACCTTGAAGCTCACCCATTTAAAGCATACAGTTCAGTTACTTTTAGTGTGTTTATAGAATTGTGCAACCATCACCATAATCTAATTTTAGAATATTTCCATCACCCCAAAAAAAGGAACTCCATACCCTTCAGCAGTCATTCCCTATGTTAGTTTCCTCCTACTGCTGTAAGAAATGACCATAAACTCAGTGGCTAAAAACAATATAAATCTATTACTGTGGAGTTCTAGAGGTCAAAAGTCCAACATGGGTCTCCCTGGGCTAAAATCAGGGTATCAGCCGGGCTGGGTTCCTTTCTGGAGCTGCTGGGGGAGAATCTGTTTTACCCCTTCCAGCTTCTTCTCCGGGCTACTGTACTTTTAACTCAGGGTCCCCTTCATCTTCAGAGCCAACAATGGCCAGCTACATCTTTCCCACAGGCCACATCCCTGATTCTGACAGTCTCCTTCCTCCCCGTATAAGGACCCTTGTGATGACATTACACCCACCTAAATCACCCAAGATAATCTCTTTATTTTAAAGGCTCCTGATTAGCTGCCTTAGTTCCCCCTTGCCACTTAGCATATTCACAGGATCCATGGATTTGGGGACACAAATATCTTTGAAAGCCATTCTTCTGCCTGCCGTATTCCCCCTACTCCAGGCCCAGACAACCCCCAATCTACTCTCTGTCTCTACACATCTACCCATCTTTTTAATTCTTCTTTATATCCCATTTCTTCCTTGAGTTTTGTGCTCAACTTTTGCTTTATCTCCTTTCCCTTTTCTCTTTGTGGCTGCTGTCTTTCCTCATTTCTCAGGAGATAATGGGCCTCTGGTGACAGAAAACAGGGAGGACTGTGGGGGGATGAGAAGGTAAAGTTTTACAGGACCAAACCCTGGGGCAGAAAAGAAATTCACAGAGGTCCTCAAACAGGATTAGCAAAGGATTAGCTGTAAATTACTTGGAAACCCGATCATCTGGATCGTGTGGTAAGAGCAACCCTTTCTGTAAATTACACCATTTGGCTTGGGGACAGTCCACTTTGTCTTCTCAGTTACCTCAAACTGTAAAAGGCAGGGCTTGGACCAGATCAGTGCTTCTCAAAGTACAGTTCCTGGGCCAGTAGCATCAGCATCTCCTGGGAACATTTAATAGAAATGCATGTCCTTAAGTTCCCTCATGCCCTCCCCCAACCAGATCCACTTCAGAAACTCTGGGCATGACCCGCCCCCAGTATACATTTTAACAAGCCCGTCTGGTCATCCTGATGCATGCTAAAGGTTGAGAACCACTGGACCACATGATGTCTATATTCCCACCAAGTGTAATAGTCTATGAGTAATTCCTAGGTATGTAAAAAGAAATGCAGTTTTTAGCAGGAAGAAGGCAAGAATGTGATGAAAGGGAATAAGGTAATTTGACAGTTTGGGGGTTTCAGATGTGTATTGGAAGGATTTCTGTTTCGTTAAAGTCTGCCATTATTCGATATTTTAGTACACTTGAAGTCATGACCTTCTAGATCCTAAATCCTACAGTCTGTGGGAGTACCTACTGCATTCCATGAAATGAAGGTCTGTATTTCTACCAAAATATGCTGTGTGTCTCTCACCCACAGGTATATAACACTGGGCCAAGCACCCTTCCTGGGTCATCTGTCAGCATCGCTTTCCCCAATCGGCTGTCACCTGGAGGGGCAGAGATGTTCCATGTGCAAGAGATGGTGGTGAGTTCTCGCTTGTCGTGGCTGTTGCTTTCAGAACAGAGCCAGCCCATTCACATTCTGTACATACTACCCTAAGGGCCCAGAAAGTTCAACTCATTCCAGCCTTTGGAAATACACCTGGAGAAACCCAGAGACGCTCAACACCTGAATTTTTGCTCTGAGACAGTTTGGTTGATGACCTCTCTGTGGACGGGGAAGGGTTGGTTATGAACATGGCTTCTGGGGTAGACTCTTCTGGCACTGGGGGCTCCCGGCAACCTTAGGTGTGTCTGATTGTCTTTTTCTGAGCGGAAGACCCACAGTTTACATGAAGATTTTCAAAGGGTCACTGAGGCTTGGAGGATGAAGGGCTAGTTCAAAAGACAGAAGTACAGATTGAAACTCCCTTCTGTATCCTGAATGTGCAGTTCTAGTCGATCCTAAGTCCACTGTAGATTTTGTCTCAAGCGGAGGCTTGACTACTAGTGTGTGATCATTCCCACCTACCTCCTTGAAACATTCTCCTGGCTTCCACGACCTCACATTACCTTGGTTCTTCCTTTCTCGCTGTTTTTTCCCCTCATTTCCCCAACATCAACAGGGCTCAGGCTCACCTTTTGTCTGCACTGTCTCTGAGATCTCACCCAGGCTTATGGCTTTATATTCAGTGTGTACTGATGACATGGGATATTCCTCTCCTGCCCAGACCTCTCCCATGAAACCCAGACTTTGATAGTCAGCAACCTTCAGGCCATCTCTACCCAGATGCCTGACAAATCTCCATGTTATCTAAAAGAGAACTCTCAGTCGTACCCTTCCCAACCTGCTTCTCCCACACCCTTCCCTGTCTTAGCAAATGCCTTCTCAGTCTTTCCAGTTACTCAGGTGAAAGTTACTTGGATCATCCTTGGTGCCTCTCTTCCCGCATCTCACATCTGATCCACCGGCAGCCCTAATGTCTCCGCCTTCACAACAAATCAGAACGTTACCACTCTTTCCACAACCACTGCCAGCACCGCACCCTGGGTGACATCACCTGCCCTCAGTTATTGCAGGAGCCCCTCCCCGGTGTCCCTGCTTCCGTCCTGGCTCCCTGCAGTCTGTTCCTGGCCCAGCGGCAGCACGAGCCTCCCAAAATGCAAGTCAGGTCATGTCAGTCCACAGTTCAGACCCTTCCAGTGGCTTCCCTGCCCCCCAGATTCTTCCAGCACCCTAGCTGGCCCCACAGTCTGTTCCTGACACTGTCTGACCATATTTCCTTCTTCTTCCCCACTCTTTCTACCCCTGCCATGCTGTCCCTTGCTGGTCCTAGAGCACAGTAGACACTCTCCCACCTCCAGAACTTGTACTCAATCTTCCCTCTACTCAGACACCCTGCCCTCAGAGAGCCACATGACCTCCTCTCTCACCTCCTTCAAATCAGAGCTTCCCAGGGACACCCTCTCTGGCCGGCCTCAGTCCCAACACTCCTCGTGCCCCTTTGCTATTCAGAGATCACCATCTTCTTCATCACCAGCTGACATTCCACTTATTTTCATGTTTGACCAGTTTCTCTGCCTCCTCCTGGGCCCCTACAGTAAAAGGACAGGGGTTTCTCTCTGCTCACTGCTGTACCTCCAAGACCCTAGTACAATGCTTGGCACGTAGTATGTGCTCAGTAAATATTTGTGGGCTGAAAGAAAAAATCTACAGTATAAAACAGACATGTTTACTTGGTCTGCATGAATTAAGGAATAGTTTGATATCGTTAAAGAAGTACCTCAGAGTGGGACACCTGGGTGGTTCAGGCGGTTAAGCATCTGCCTTTGGCTTCAGGTTATGATCTCCGGGTCCTGGGATCAAGCCCCACGTTGGGCTTCCTGATCAGTGGGGAGTCTGCTTCTCCCTCTGCCCTTCATCCTGCCTATGCTCTCTCTCGCTTTCTCTCAAATAAAGAAGTAAAATCTCTTAAAAAAAAAAAAAAAAAAAGTTAAAAAAAAAAAAAAAAGAGTGCCTCAGAGTGCTTTGCAGTCTCTAGCGGCTGGGTGTGAGGGTGACCCCTCCTGGGCAGGACTGGTGCAGGAAGCTCGAGTGGTTCACTCCACAAGGAGAACACATGCAGTCATGATGAGAGAATCATGAAATCATTGCTCTTCATATGAGCCCATGAGGGACAGCCAGCCAGCCAAAGGGGCGGTCTCTCCACTGATAGCTTAAAAATCAGGGCAGTGAGGCCCATGGCCCATCACACATCTGAGCCTGCATTTGAAGAGAATGCTGCCCACAGGAGGTGCAGAAAGCTTTAGGTGATGGTGATAGCAGGGTTTGGCATCACTGTCCTTATGGGCCTGAAAACCTGGACCCCTCCTGAGTTGCCTGCTCCATCATTACCATTCCTCACAATATTCCATTCGTCCTCCATGAAGTGCCCGTGTCTGTGAGCTTTGCTGAACCTGAAGAAGAAAAGTCCCAGCATTCTATACCAGTGGCATACCATGGTTTGAGCTTAGCATAAGGTTAGGGGTTCTCCTGTCTACCCTCTTAAATATTATTAATCGTACCAACCAGGGTACCTATTCCCCAGCGTCCCGCGATGTTTTCGTCCTGAGCATGCTCTGAGAGTTGTTCACAGAAACATCTGTGGTGTTGTATGGAGAATTTTTTCCTCACAGACAAAATTATTTGTTGACCCAAACAAGAAATTTAAGTCACTCAGTTTCTGAGGGTATCTCAGAACCAACTATAAACCCATTTCTCCCAAGGAAAAGCCACCAGAATGGACTTTGGCACACATTTATAAACAGCTGGCTTGCTTGGGAGGCATTAGAAGTGGTTTTCCTGAAGATTTGCAGAACTGCATGACTGTGAGTCTAGCTGAGCGGACCCTCAAAATCCCGAGTGGTATTGGCTGGCTTCATTCCATGCTTTGAGTTCTCAGAAGCAAACCCTTTGGATTTTCAAGACCGTATTTAGAATTCTCACAAAGTCTGTAACAGAATTTTCAAGAATGGCCAAGCCTTTAGTTGGATACACCAACCCTCGGTCAGAGGCTTTGGGCATTTTCACAGCACGTGAAATCCAGCTCGCTGGCAAAGCTCCCCGAGAGGGTAGTGAAGACTGGAGTACCATGATTGCAGGTGTAAAGCCGACAGGTGCTGCCATGCAGGGCTGAGACAAGAGTCCCCAGGTACTTGTCTCAAGCCGGTCAGCAGCACGCCCTCTGCCCTAAAGCCCACAGGGCTGAGAGCGAGGGTGTCCTCCAGCTCAGCTTAGTTCCCAGCCTCGGCCCTTCCCTCCCTCAGCAGAGGCCTAGAATGCTCCCTGGGGCAGGTATGACTCCTCACTTTGGCCTTCTGGGACTTAGAATGGAGCAGGGCTTTCCTTCAGGAGATTTGGGTGACTGGGTGCCAGTTGAACTTACTCCTTTTGGGAGAAACCAGTCCTCGTGGCCTGTTCTCCACCAGACAATGACCCTACCGCCTGATCACATTCCCTCCCCACCCCACGCTCAGCGCCATCAGTCCCCAGTCTTGGACAGGCTACTGAGCAGCCAGCTACCTGTTTAGCCAGATGAAGCCCCAGGGCAGCTAACAGGTGTTGAGAGAGGGGCCATCTGTCATCCCTTCCCACACCCCGTGGGCCCCTCAGATTGTTTCTCTCGCTCTCACAGTGCCCTGGGCATCTGTTTTGCCTGTGGTCATCATCCATATAGAATTCTAAGGGTGGGCATGCTGTCCCCACACGCCCTGGGCCATCACCCCATCTATGGCCCTGAGCCGGTGGCAGAGTTTTCCAACTGCTGGTTCAGAATTGATTCAGACGCCTCACAGAGGCTGCAGCTGTGGTCCCTGGGCAGGACAGACCTCTTAGGTTGCACCCAAGACTCTTGTTTTTTTTTCCCGGAGGATTTCTTAAGGCCCAGCTTCCTGTGAGCAGATAGTATCTTTGCTTGCATGGGAGAGATTATTCCAGGGAGCCTGAGGAAGTGTGACCACTTCATACTCCCAGCCATGGTTCATGATCTTTCCCTACAGCAAATGTCCCAGGCCACTCCACCCTGCCGATGTTCTGTTTAGAAACAGAGCTATAGTGTGGTCTGAGGAAAGACTGTTCATTTCCATTGCCTCCCCCCCCATCAGGGTTGTATGGCACCCTGTGGGGACACGTGGACTTCCCACTGCACAGCAAAATTGTGGGCAAGCCACTGTGAATATGGAAGCCAAGTCGAAATAACTATGAAAGAAAGAGTGAGCGAGAGGGAGGAACAACAGACTTCTTTGGTCCGTGTAAGATAAAATCATTGCAAATCATTAATCATTCTGGGTTTCTTCTGCAAACACAGCAGAAAAAAGACCTGTTATGTGCCAGGTTCTGATAAGAGGAATATGTCACACAGCACCAGAAAGTCAGTCTTTCAGGAGAGCAACCTCGAAAAAAACATCATTGCAATACCGGGAACAAAGGCGGTCCCAGACCCAGGGACATACGAGGGTGCAAATCCCACCCTGGGAAGTGCGCAGGAAATGCAGACTCTTTGAGTCAGGGCTTAAGAGGATGTGTAGTAGTTTACTGGAAGAACACATTACGGGGAGAACATTCCAGACAGAGGGAAAGGTCATTAGTTCTAAGTGTTCAGTGGAGGCAGGATCTGGTCCTCTGTTCTCTGTGCATAGCTCTTATACAAATAGGCAAAGCTAAGCAGTCTCCACACCTTCTCCAGAGTATACTGCAGATTGATATCTGGGCAGTGTGACCGAAGTAGGAAGTGCTACACCACAGTCATTTCCTGTGGCAGTTGGTAAGTTAAGCATTCTGTCTGGGTGATCACTTCTGTGCCCTTGTGGATCTGCTCCTTCATTTCTCCTGACTTAGGAATGAGGAAGGCCATCCCCGCTGCTTCCAGAGACTGTCTAACCACACGTGCGTGTGGCCAAGAAATGACCCTGGGCTGCGGCAGAGGGCATTGGCTTTTGTGGGCCAGACTGCCTACATGAGGCAAACCTTTGCTCCTTAGAGAAGGTTCCTGTTTCAAGTGAGGATGT